TACACCCTCCCAACTACTTTTGACTTTTTAAATAGTTCTCTAGTCCTTCTTTAAAGGCACAGATTTTTTGTTTGTTTAGCATAGGCTTTAAGATTTTGTGTCTCCACTAACCACTGCCCTCGCCCTCCTTCCCTCCCTTTCTTTGTTTTTCCTTCCTTCTTTCCCTTCCTTCTTTCCTCACCATAAGGTAAGTTCTCTGAGAACAGGAAGCACACCTCTTTTGCTCACTGATATTTCTTAGGGCCTATGACAGTGCTGTAGAGAGCAAGTACATGGTTAAATATATGCTGCATGAACCCAACTGAACACAAATAATACAGCAATGAGGCAAATCTAGAGGGCGCTAGCCATTCTTTTTTGTTTGTTTCTTTGAGGGGGAGCGGTTAGGTTTATTTATTTGTTTTTAATGGAGGTACTGGGGATTGAACCTAAGACCTTGTGCATGCTAAGCATGCGCTCTGCTACTAAGCTATATCCTGCCCCACTGTGATAGCCTTTCTTAAGATCCTTTTATCCCATTACAGAAACATAACTGATGTTTCAGTAAAACATATTTTTAATGCTGCCATAATTTTCAGAAGTTGATAATATCACAGTAATAAAGTTTAACATATGCTTTGAACTATAATATTAGACACTTACGCAGTGTTTATTATCTGTAAGCTACCAGTCTACTACTTAGTACATATCTAAACCTAACAAAACCTCAAAAAGGTTTTCTAGCTGAACGTCAGAAACCAGCCACAACAAAGAAACCAAGTTCTATGGATTATCCCCCCCAAATCTCTCTCAAATACATCCTGTATTCTTCCTCCCCGTTATTACCACGCCAGTTCAGCCACCATCGCCTCTCACCTAAACTAATGCAACAGCCTCACAAGGGGTCTGCTTGCATCCTCTCTCCAAGCACCCTTTCCCAGCCCCACTCAAATCAGATTGTATAAAACCATAGTCAGAGTAACCAACAGAGCCAGATTCAATGATTACCCGGATATTGGACCCAGAAGGGGATTTAAAATAACTATGATTAATATGTAAAAGGCTCTAGTGGAAAAGGTGCACAATACACATTAATGCTTGGGGAATCTCAGCAGAGAGATGGAAACTATAAGAGAAAGTCAAATGGAAATTCTAGAAAGGAAAAAATATAGTAATGGAGATGAAGAATTTCTTTGATGAGCACATCCGTAGAGTCAACAAAGCTAAGAATCAGTAAACGTGCAAATAGGTCAACAGAAATTATCCAAACTAAAACACAAACAGGGAAAAAGACTGAAAAACTAACAAAGCAGAAGAGAGCAGCTAAGAGCTGTGGGACAGTATCAAAGGCTTAAATGCGCACGGAACTGCAACCTTGGAAGGAGCAGAGATGGAGTGGGCAGAAACAGTACCTGATGTGTCAATGGCTGATAACAACTAACGGAAGACATCAAACCAAAGATCCAGGGAAGCTCAGAACCCCAAGTAGAATGAAACACACTCACACACCTAGACACATCCTATTCAAACTGTAGAAAATCAAAGATTCAGGCAAAAATCCTAAAGGTAGCCATAGGAAAAAGACACATTTCATATGGAAGAACAAAGATCAAAATGATAGCAAGCTTTTTGTCACAAATTATAAGCCAGAGACAATGAAGTGACAGTTAAGGTGCTGAAAGAAAAAAAAAAACTGTGAATGAAAATAAATATAAAAGTCTTTTTTTTCATTTTTTTAATTGCTCTGAAAGATAACTGTCTTAAACAAAAATAGTAGCAATGTATTGTGGTCTTACAGCATATGTAAAGGTCAAATGCATGACAATTACACAGAAGATGGGAGGGACAAATTAGAAGTTTACTGAAGTAAGGTTTCTCATACTATACATGGAGTTTTATAATATTCTTTAAAGGTATATTATTATGAATTAAAGAAGGATATTGGGAACTCTAGTATAACCACTAAAAAACTTTTAAAATAAGATTTAATGCTAAGTTAATAGTGGAGATAAAATGGAATAATAAAAAATAATCAAAAGACAGGCAGAAAAAGATAAAAATGAACAAAGAAAAGTTGGAGCAAAAGCAGAACAACTAGCTGCATGGAGGATTTAAATACATCCATAAAACAATAATTACTTTAAATGGTCTATACACACCAACTGAAGTCACACAGATTGTCAGAATGGATTTAAAAACCGGACCCAATTATATGCTGCCTACAAAAAACTCACTCTAAATAGTTTAAACAAAAAGAATGGGAACATATACTATGTAAACAAAAATTAAAAGGAAGCTAGAAAAAACAACAACAACAACAAAAAAAGGAAGTTAGAGTGGTCATATTAATATAAGACAAAATAAACTTCCAAATAAGGAATACTACCAAGGTCAAAGAGGGACACTGCATAATGATAAAGCGGTCAATTCACCAAGAAGACGTAACAATTCTTAACGAGAATATACCTAACAAGAGTTTCAGAATACATCAAGGAAAACTGATGGAACTAAAAGGATAAGTAGAAAAACCCACAATTATAGTTGCAGGATGCAACACTCCACAGTTAGTAATCAGTAGAGGCCAACAGACAGGAAATCAGTAAAGACAGAGAAAACCTACAATACTGTCAGCAACCTGACCTACTTAACATTTATTTCCAAGTGTGTATGGAACATTACGCACTTACAAATAACACAACAAAGCTCAAACATTTTAAATAACTAAAATCATACAAAGTATCTCTGACCACAACAGAATCAAACTACAAAATCGAAAACAGAAATTTGTGTAAATAACCATGAGTCAGAGGAGACAAGTGAAAATAGAAATTATTTTGAATTGAATGAAAATGAAAACACCATGTATTGAAATTGTGGAATGCAGCTAAAGCAGAAGGAAATTTACGGCATTAAATGTTCATATTAGAGAAGAAAGATCGTATACCAGTGATCCCCTTGGGAAACTAAAAAAAAGGAGAGCAAATTAAACAAAGCAGAGGAGAAAAATAATAACGGTAAGAGCATCAATGCATAAAGCGGCAAAGAGAAAACAGCAGAATCGATGAAATCAAAAGCTGGTTCTTTGAAAAGATCACCAAAAATGTTAAACTCCTAGGAAGACCAACAAAATTAAAACAGAAGATACGGATTACCAGTTACAGAAATGAAAGGCAGGAAACCATTACCAGAGCTCGTTCAAGAAGAAATAGATCATTTGAATAGTCCTATAACTACCAAGGGACCTGGGTTGAAGGTTGAAAACCTTCCAAAAAAGCAAACTCAAGACCCAGATGGCTTTACTGGATTGAGCTTTAGGTGTCATAGCTAATAAAATTTTGCCTTATAAAAGGTCATAAAGACTGCCTCTAATGTTTCTTCTAGAAGTTTTATAGTTTTAGTTTTTATACTTAGATCTGTGATCCATTTGAGTTACTTAGTATATATATGGTGGGAAGTATAGATTTAAGTTCATTTTTTTTGTATATGGATGTCCAACTTTTCAGCATCATCTATTGAAAAGAGTCTCCTTTTAACGTTGAATTGCTTTTTCATCTTTGTCAGAAATTAATTGACCATACATGTGTGGGTCAATTTCTGGACTGTCTGCTCCGTCCTACTGATTTACATCTATCCTTTCACCAATACCACATTGTTTTAATTAGTATAGCTTTCTAAGTCTTAAAACCAATATAATAATGAAGCTGTCCTTTTTCAGTCCCATATATGGCAAATGTTTACTTGCCAAAAGAGAACAGAAGCCCAACTTTGAGCACAAAATGATCATGGATCCCCTAGGGGATCAGAGGTCTCTGCGTCTTAAGCAAAAGTATGGCATTTTAGATGCCATTAGCTTATGTCCCAGTAAGCAGTATGCATTGAAAAATAACTTCCTTACCCCAAAATACCAGGCTCCCACAATTCTCCACCTTCATATCCATGCCCACGAATCTTTGGGCAGAATTCAGCTGTTCCTCCTCCACATGGGTGAAGTCCATTTCCTCATCCTTGACTGTCACCAGTTCCTAGAAGAACAGCACATTCTTAGAGGACTTGGTAATCCATGAGGGAAGAGAACAATCTAGAACAGGAAGAGTTTTTTAATCTGAAGTTTAAACCTTTATTTTAGCTATTTTAATGGAATATTCTAAATTTTCTAAGTATTAATCTATGTTAGGGAAAATAATAATAGCTAACAATTACAATTTGTTTTCTATGTACTAAGTCCTTTGAACCACCTCTTGTAATAATAATGATGTTAGGTAAGTACTATTATTAACATTGTTTACAGATGTGAGGATCAGATCTGAGATTTGGACACAGGCAGTCTTTTTTTTTTATAAACATTTCTTTTATTGAGTTATACTCATTTTACAAAGTTGTGTCAAATTCCAGTGTAGAGCACAATTTTTCAGTTATACATGAACATATATATATTGTCACTTTTTTTTCACTGTGAGCTACCACAAGATCTTGTATATATTTCCCTGTGCCATACAGTATAATCTTGTTTATCTGTTTTGCATTTTGAACTCCCAGTCTGTCCCTTCCCACCCACTGCCCCCTTAGCAACCACAAGTTTGTATTCTATGTCTATGAGTCTGTTTCTGTTTTGTATTTGTTTTGTTATGGCTTTTTTTTTTTCAGATTCCACATATGAGGGATCTCATATGGTATTTTTCTTTCTCTTTCTGGCTTACTTCACTTAGAATGACATTCTCCAAGGACATCCATGTTGCTGCAAATGGTGTTGTTATTTTTAATGGCTGAATAGTATTCCATTGTATAAATATACCACATCTTTTTTATCCAGTCATCTGTCAATGGACATTTAGGCTGTTTCCATGTCCTGGCTATTGTAAATAGTGCTGCTGTGAACAGTGGGTGCAGGTGTCTTCAAAGCTATACTCTTAATTATACTCTTCTCTTACGTATTTTACTAAGTAAACCTAATATAAATGAACCATTGAATGACAACGAAATGTTAATTACTGATTATACTGTAGATGAGATAAAGCTCAGAAATGTAATTTATACTGATTTCTGGAAGGTTCTGAGATTTTATAGAAATTCAGCTTGATATCCTGAATGCATATAGACGATCATGCTGTTCTAACAGAGGCTGCTTCTTTCTCAGTACTTTTCTTCTTTCTCGGTGCTTTGGGCCATGACTCAGATTTATTTAGTTATCCTTTTGTAATTAAAGTTGTTTTGAATGGGTGGATTTGCTGATTTGAAACTGAAAATGACCACCTGTTCTAAGACTCCTACTCTGTTACATTGACAGCCATGTGAGTGTACTTTGTTGACCATAATTAATTGGAAAATACTTTGTGGGAAAGCCAGTCAACAGAACAGAGTGGTTAGAGGCATAAGATTTAGAATCAGACATACCTGGAATCTGATTAGGGTTCAAACCCTTTTATGATTCTGAGCAGGTTACCGGGAGCCTCAGTTTACTGTGAAATAGGCATCACCCCTAACTCACAGGAGTATTTGTTTAAAATCAATAAAGTAATGTTTGAAAAGTGGTTCTAAATGTTGGAGTCCCTCAGCACTCAATCTAGACATCTTCTCTTTCACCTACTCTTACATACCTATAAACAATCTCTTACTTCTCCCATCTTAAAAAGAAAACAAAAATCCAAAAAACCCTCTTTGGTCTTAATACTCCTTCCAGCTATCATCCGACTCCTCTCCTTTTCTTTAGAGTAAAACTCTCCAAACTAGTTGTCTGTAGCCTCTGGGGCCAATTTTTCTCCTCCCATTTTCTTCTGAGCCCATTCCAGTTAGGCTTTCACTCCTGTCACTCCATGAAATTGTTCTTGGCAGTCGCCAATGGTCTTCCTATTGCCAAATCCAACAGTCAGTGCTCATGTATCGTCTCACTTGACTTAGCAGCTGCTTTTAACAAAGCTGATGACTCCCTTCTCCTTAGAACACTTTCCTCAATTGGTTACCAGGATGCCACACTTTGAACTTCCCCCTGCCTCACTGGCCACATCTTCTCAGTCTCCTTTGCTGGTTCCTCTTCATCTTCCTGACCTCGAAGTGTTGGAAGCTACAGGGCTCAGTAATAAGATCCCATCTCTTTTCTGTCTACACTTATTCCCTTAGTGATCACAGTTTCATACTTTAAAGTACCATTCACACCGATTACTCCCAAATTTAAAGCTCCTGCCTGAGCTCTCCCTAGAGCTTCAAGTGGTCAGGGAAAAATTACTTTGGTTCAGTTCTCCGGATGGGATTTCCATGAACCTCTGAAGCAAGATGAAAGAAAGAAATTAGAACACTCTATGAACACCAAGCTGAAATTTCAGGGGAGGGAAATTAAACTCAAACTCACCTGGAATTCAACAGGAAGGAGCTCTACAGTAGGACTCATTTCTTCTGTGCTCTGTTCTTGGGGCAGAGAAGCATCCTTAGTAGTCATGGCTGGAAGGAGTAGGAAAAAAGCCATGAGGGGGGTAAATACTATCTTCCCACTTCCAAATCCAGTAGGACAAAAGCTATCACAAGACAGGTGAATTATATACATAATCCCTACTCTACTCAACTCCAAAAGCTCTAATGAGGAGAAAGACAATAACAACATGAAAGTGCTTTGACCAAAAAGTTAAACTCAAGGACCCATAATATGTCAACCTTTTGCAACAGTCTAACAGGGCTGAAAAAGTGCAACCTGCTCTTTTTTACAAAAGCAAGCACTATGGAATATTCTCCCTTCCATGGCTTCAGAGGGAATGTGGATGAGCACTGAAGTGCTGAAAGAGGAAGACGGGACAGGGAGATGTATTACAAAGATTCTACTTAGTGATTTCCAAGCATGGTCGTTGCCTGCGTCTGTCTTCTTTGGGGCCTTCTCCTGATGTGTGTCTGCTGCACTGTTTCTATCATGCAAGGTCACCTAACCTTTTCATTCTCATCAAGGGTATTTCCTCCACTTGTCCCCACTTTCAATTCCATGTTTATTTCTGTAATTGTTACCTTTTTCCTCAAGTTCAGTGGTCCATAATCAGCTTCTCTTCCTTGTCCTGTTATTGCTGACTTCCTCTGTACTCACTGTTTCCGATGAAATAAACATGGACTTCTCAGCAATACATAATCTGCTTCTTTCTGTAAATCATTCAACTCTACTCTGAAGCCCTGGAGAGAGATGTGGGGGTTAGGTTTGCCACCACCAGCCCCCCACTCTGGAATTGATTCCCACTCCCTGGGGCACCTCCCTCTCCCTCTTCTCCTAGGAAAAGTTAAGTCCTAGGGCCTCAGAAGTCATTCTACTTTGCTTGGATCCTTCATTATTTAGTCTATATTAACTCCGCAGCTGGAAGGGCATCCTTTGGAGTACTCAGATCAGTCATTATATTCCACACCAGGGCAAAAATAGAGAATCAGGACAGTGCACTGTGAGCCTCAGTCACACACCTGGTTCCAGACGGTCCAGACACTCTCATGAGACCCTAAAGCACAGAAGTGGCCATTAGCTAGCCTGTGATTAATGCTGCAGTAACTAAAAGCAGGGCTCCCACAGTTGCTTCATCCTTGCGATTCATAAACACAGTGCAATTGATAAATGGGGCCGTACATCCGATTCCTCACTCGCTCCATAAGACTCTGAAAATATACAGGCTGGGAATCCCTTCCACGCTCAGAGTCGAACCCTTTGCCCAGGCCCTCTAAAACTCTCACAGAGCAAAACACAGAAGGGGAAATGAGTAGGACACGGACCCCATGTTTTTCTTTCTGTCCCCAGAGTTCAGAACTTCAAGGCTCTCAGTGCAGTGACAAGACCTAAGGCCACCACCAGCAGGAGACGCTCGCGTTCTCCGCTCCTCGGAAGCCTGGCTCTGCGACCTCCGCATCCCTCTTCCCAGAATCCCCCGATCTGCCACGCCCCCTTTAGTGCCCCCGGACTCCATTTCCCAGAGTGCTTAGCGGCAACCTCGCTGCTGGGACGCTCCTCGGCTGAGAACAAAGCTCACAAAGCCGGCTTGCTATCCAGCCGGAAACACCTGAGGAGCGCGCGGAGCGCCCGGGGCTGTGGGACGTAGGCCCGGTCCAGCCCGGCCCAGCACTTCCCCGCCCAGGCCGACCCGACAGCCCCGCCTTCGCTGCGGTGGGAGGCGCGGGAGCCGCGCGCCCGACGGGCGGGTCCCCGAGACCGGCGCCTCGGGCTCGGCTTTCTCTTACCCCGGACGCCCTGCGGCCCCGGCTCCGGGCCCGGGGCTGGTTCCCCGCCGGGCTGCGCTCTGGGAGGGGCGGGAGAGGCGGACGCAGTCGCCGTCCGGACCCTCGGAGCTGCGGGGAGACAAAAGGCTCGAGCCCGAGGCTCCGTCTGGAGTCGCATCTGCGCACTTGGAGGCGGCCGCGCCGGGTCGGGGGTCCCGGCGGAAGGACTCCACTTCCCAGAGGGCTCGGGGACACCGATGCCTGTCCCGGGGGGCGTCTGCAGCGCGAGGGCAGAAAACTGCGGGCCGTCACTGTCGGCCTTAAAATGGAGACAATTCCCCATCGGACAGGTCTCTTCTGAATAAAATGAGAAGCTGTCAGCGGGGGACGGTATAAGCTCAGTGGTAGAGCGCGTGCTTAGTATCAGCGAGGTCCTGGGTTCAATCCCCAATACCTCCATTTAATAAATAAGTCTGTCCCCCCCTCCCGCCAAGGAAAACAACAACAACAAAAAGCTGTTCTTTAAAAGCTCCAAGTGATTTTAGTGTGTAATTATTAATTGGAGGTGGACGATGGGGACTTGTGACAGTGTTTTTCCTAGCATTTCTGTCTTGTAATAAAGCCGCAAATCTGGAAACCGAGTGCTAGTGCTGATTTTGTTAAAAGCTTTCCGGCTGATTTAAAAAGTATAGGCAGGCGGTAGAAGCCACTGCCCTGATAGAAGAGATAGAAAAGAAGAAACACGATTAGGAATGAGTTCACAAGAAGTCAGATATGAGAAGCAGCAGCAGCTTGTAGGGAGGTTGGCTCTGAAGTGGAGAACTGTGCGGACCTAGAGTTTAGGGACATTAGTCCTGGAAGGGTGGCTCCCTGGAGCCAAAGATAAACCAAAACAGAGATACTTCTTTCATCCTTGTTGAAAACACTCGGGGCTATAGCTCTAGGTCTTCACAGAAATCCAGAGAAACCCTTAGTATCTCAGTTGTCATTTCTAGTCCACGTTAACATAGTCACTGGAACAGTCTCCACATCTCTTCTTGCCTTTCCTCAATCTGTGCTATTCAAAGCAGGCAAGATTAACTTTTAAAAGTTAAATCTGTCAGTGTCACTCTTAGAACCCTGCAGTGGTTCCCTGTGACCTGGAGTAAGATGTAAATTCCTTAACACAGATAATAAAACCCTGCATAATCTGGCTCTGCCAATCCTAGATTATCTGTGGCTATTTCCCTACCTTTATACTCAGATCACGTGGGCTTTTTAGTACCTCACACAACCCAAACTCTTTGCTAGCCCTTAATCTGCACATTCTCTCTGCTTAGAACATCACACTCCAATCATACTTTAGATTTCAGTTCAAATGTCACTTTTCCAGAGAAGCCTTCCCTCCCCCTCCCTTCCCTTTAATTCACATTGTTTCACAGAACCCTGTTCTTTATCTCCATAGACTTGCCACAATTTATAATTACACATTTTTCTCCCTGTTATTTAATGTACACGGGCACACCAGAATGGGTGTCAACAGCTTGGAAGAAAATCCCAGAGACAAGAGTGGAACATACTTAAGAACTGCTATATTCCAATACTCTTGGTGGCAAGGAAAACGATACTGAGTGTAAAAACGTGCACGGACAACGCTGAATGGGAAAATGGTTCAGAATAGAATTCAGAATGTGAAGAGTTTAGCAATACCTTCACCATTTTATTTTCCTTTTTATGTGAGTACAAGAGGTATATATCATTTTTAAATGTATGATTAAAATTATGGCTAGTAAGTCTAAAAGGGAGCTATTAATAGTATGAAATAAAAGGTCAAAGTGATAAAGTGTTCTATTGTCATTTAGTTGGCGTTTTTTTTTCTTTATTGGTGGCTCAGAAAGTAATGGTGCCTCTTATAACACCATGATGCCTTAGAATCATGGAATATTCCAGCGCTGCTGGGAGGATGGCCAGAGCCTCAAAATCCCCAGGGACCTGAAGGTTGTTTCTGGAGTCGAAAGCAAGTGTTCCCTGAGCCCCTTCCCCTCAGCCTGTCTAATTCTACCTTGTCCACCTTTGCATCCTGCTTTGTACATCCCAGTGATGAAAGGACAAGAAACCCAGAGGGAAACCCCCAAACTGTCGGGACGCCCGAGGATAGCAAATACTGAATTCTGCAACTGGGAAGTGAAGAAGTTAGCATGCGATAAATATACAAAACAGGTGGGCATTTGTGACTTTGTGGTACAGCAGCAGCACATCTGATTTTAGATCAGATGGTTGAGCATTCAAATCACTTCGGCGTCAAAACAGGTGTTATGCTGTCAATTCTGAGATTTCATCAATCATTGGCCTTTAAAAACCACACCTAAAGGAGGCTTTTTTTTTAAAGCTCAGCAAAGGACAGACTTACAGACGTTTAAACCGAAGAGGGAGTGGGGCTGTCACAGTGAAAGCTTAATCCTGATAAATCCACAACGATCTCCATTTCTGCTAACCTGGGGTTTTCCCCACTCAGGTCGTGAGCGAGGAACTGGTTTGTATCTGGGACTTGATTGTTTCATACCCCTCTTGGAGGATTTAAATGAATCCTAAGTAACAAGGTGGTAAATGCCAGGGTAACTTTCCACTCTCATAGAGTTCAAGAACTCCATCATCAACATAAATTTTGAATCAACTTCACAGTATTTTCTCTTTAGCCGTAATGTTCAGGGGCTTTTGACGGAGGAAGCTTAAACTGCGTGGTAATGGTGGTTGGGGTGGGGAGGTGGGACTGGGGAACTGACTTCATCAAGATGACAGAAATATCAACAAGGAGACAGTGCCACATCTGTCTGGGGACCAATAAAACTGTTCACACCGGAATGAATTCATTAACAAAGTCTCTGCATGCCCTGTTTTAATGTCCTCCCTGATGTCCTATCTGAAGAATAGTCCTAATAAGGATAGGTTGGAAACGACCTAAACGCTGGCTCAGGTGGGGTTTTCTTCTCTTCCAGGTCATCCTTGCCCTGCAGCTCAAGTCCCTTTCCATGGCTGAGTTGTTCATAAGAAGCCTCTTTGGACTAAAGAAAAGGTAAGAGAAAATCCACTATTGGGAGCCCGCGGACAGACACCACTTTCGTTTTGTTCACGACCGAATCTATCCCGGTGGCTAAAAAGACACGCCCTTGACCCCGACGTGATTTGAACACGCAACCTTCTGATCTGGAGTCAGACGCGCTACCGTTGCGCCACGAGGCCCTGAGGACAGCGCTCTTTTTTGTGCTTTAGAGGGACAATTTCAGCTGTTGTCAGATACAGTGTCCAGTATTTTTTCCTAACACTGCCTTTATTGTGGCTTGGGATTAACTGTGAGCTCTTTGCCCCTTTTATAACGAGGCTACTCCAAGCGAGACGTAAATGTAAATGAAGCGGGTGGGAAACTGAGGGCTCGGGGACTACTCGCCCTCCTAATCCAGGAATCCCACCTCCCCTGCCGAGGCTTTTAGGGAGCGATGTTTGGGGAAAGACTGGAAAATGAGAAGTTCAGCTCACAGGGAAGGTGGAGCGCGGTGATCAGGGCTCCGGATTCTCTCTTCCCCCAGCCCCCCTGCGCCCCGAGCCCCGCGGGGGTCTGCAGTGAGCCACACCTATGGGGGACACTATTTCCCTTTACCAAACGGAGACTTAGAAGTTTCCGGTTTTCTTTTTTTTCTCCTCTTTTTTCTTTTCTTCTTTTTTCTTTAAAAATAGCATACTCCCTTTAGAAATCTCGTCAGATACAAGACAAAACAAAACAAAACCCACTACCCTAAGAAGCGTTGAGCGCCCGCAGGCACCGGCGTCTATACGACGTCCCACCTGACGTTTCACCTTTTTCAAGTGAAAGAACAGAGGGGTGGGGGAGGGGAGCCCAACGCTTTGTGGCTGGGATGTCGCGCCTGCCCCACCGGGAGCAGACTTCAGCAGCAGTGCTCGGTGCGCTGCGCTCAGCGGGGTGGGGCGGAGCTGGCATCTGGGAGACCTGCACGCGGGAGTCGTGGGACAGCCAGTTGTCCCCGACTTGGGCATCGTACAAGCTTCCTGGATGAAGTACGAAGGCTGACTCTCCATATCCTTGGTGGCACTATGCGAGACGGTCCATTTCTGAGTTTTAGGACACGCAGAGAGAATGCTGAGTTTGAGTCGGGAACCAAGAATGGTTTAGATAGTCCCTCATTTGTGTGTCACGACTAGACTGGCTGGGAGCGCTTTGGGCTGAAGACTCGAGGGCCTCTGGTTCTGCGCGGGGTTCCACAGGGCCTTCCTTTTTTTTCCCCTCCTCCATATCCAGGCTTCCTGGGTGTCATGTCATTTATAAAAGAACGGCCATGCCCGGCAGTGTACTGCACGCCCTGTAGTGAATTTGCTGCGGCGCCTGGAGAAACAGCCTTCATCCCACCCACTCCCCTCCCCGCATTTCTCAGAGCTTGGACGGCGCCAGTTCAAGGTGCAAGACGAAGAAAAGTAATTTTTTGTTGTTTCAAGAATGTATTTTATTTTCAAATTATAACAAATGATGCTAGTTTCCCTTTATATTGAGATATAGAGCCACTGGATGTAAAGGATCTCTAGATGTATCTCCTTCTAAGATAGATAGGCAGACAGACAGACAGACAGACATTTCTTTTTAATGAGAGTCGATTTAAAAATAACAGGAGGTGGGGAGGATATAGCTCAGTGGTAGAGCGTGTGCTTAGTTTAGCATGCACAAGGTTCTGGGTTCAGTCCCTGGTACTTCCGTTTAAAAAAAAAGTTATTTAAAAATAACAGAACGGTAAAGTGAGCACCTTCAGGACACAGACTTGAGGATCTCACGCCTGATACGAGGAATTCTCCCCAAACTCCAGCCGAGGTGTGTGGGGAGGGCTAAAGAGAGCCCCCGCCCCCCACCCCGCCATATTTCTTTTCCCCCAGGAAGCCCCCTAACCCCGATGCCCTCGCAGGTGGGATCAGCCGTGGGAGGTTTTCCGCCCAGTTGGGGTCAGCAGCTGCGCGCCCACCCCAGTAGCGCTTTTCTTTTGTTCTCAAGCAGTTTCACTTGAAAAGGGGGAAAAAAAAGTTGAATGGATTGAAACAAGAAACTTTCTGTCATCAAACAATGGAAAACTGCTATACTTGATGTCTCAAAAAGCGCGTTTTTATTCAAATAAAACCACGGTGTTTCCCTGGAGGCGCCCCGTCCCCGCTGGAGAGGCCTTGAAGCAGCTCCGCGCCTGCACCTGCGAGGGGGATTATTAGGCTGGAAATGAAGCAACTGCATAGCGGTCGGATTTAAAACGGACACCCTGCCCCCAAATGTCGCTAAAGCTGGAACCTCCGGATACATAGCCTTACCCTTTTGCGCCCCCCAAGAACTCAGACTTGACCTTGACGCCCAGGGGGTGGGAGGAGATATCCTTGCCTTGTTCCTGATTTTAGGGAGAAACTGTCCAGTCTTTTACCATTAATGTGTAATGTGGGCTATAGGTTTTTCATCAATCACAGGAAGAACTCTGTACTTTCCCTCAGGTTGACAGTGCCTGTGGGTCTTGAAGACTTTGGGGCCATTTTTCAGGAGTTTTCTGGGAACTTATTACATGTTTACTTGAAAAACAAGAGGTGATTCCTCCAGGGGTTCCACCTGTTGCTCCCACTGGGCGGTGAGCTGGGGCACTGGGAACCAGCTTTAACAGGGCACCATGCCTCACCCAGTGTTGGATCGTCTCCCCAGCGGAAGGAGATTCTATCATTGAGGTGAATTTTGTTCTCCAGAACATAGGAAGACAAGGACATCTGCTTTCATCTCTCACATGCCTAAGTCATCATCCCCAACCCCACAGAAACACACAAACTGCTGACCCCACCCAACCACAACCACTGACCCTCGAAGACCCCAAAATCACAGGTTGCATGGGTTCCTGCTCCCCAGCCATATCAGGCACCGACTCCAGAGCCCCACAACTCAACCTCACACCCACCACTGACCAAACTGCCTCAAGTACTCTCCCACACAAACCCTAACCACCCATGTCTGCAGTTCCCCCAACCGTCACACCCTGAATTCCTGTGTCTTTCACTGGTCAAGACCCCTGGTCTCCCATCTCCCTCTCCCTAGCAGATACTGCAGGTGTGACTCCCTTATCCTTCCTCCTTTCTTTGAGACACTGAGTCCCCGTTGAGCCTTTACCGGACTCAGAGATGTGTCAGAGGTGAGGAGTTTTGAACAGGGAGCAGCCCAACAATGCTCCTCTCACAGTTGCTTTATTCCAGAGGCCAGCAAAGGGGGTGGGAAGGGAGGAGGCAGCCGACTCCTGTCTAAAAGCCAACTCCCCTCACCTCACCCTCTGACAATTAGTGGGCAGGTGCATTTAAAGGGGAGTGACAGGGGTGTACAGACATAGGGAAGGAGATATTACACTCAGCTCTGATAGTCATCTTGAAATTAGTCATGTGGTGGGCAGATCAGTGTCATCCTGATTGTTTTAAGTACAGGTAATCTTCAGTTCCAGGGTCAGTCTGTTCCCATCTCTTTGAGGCCAGTTCTCTGAGTTGTGGCAGCTTATGTCACGGCTACAGTCTGGGCATCACGTAGTTAACTTCCTCCACCTGGTGGGGCTTGTAGTATCTACAGGACAGCTCAAAGGACAGGGCTCAGAATACTAGTTAGAGCCCTTGAGGAGGAACTAAAGGTCTCTGACGTTGTTTAATGACTAAACTATTATTATTTTCTTTAGCTTGACTATTTTCCTTTGTTTCTGTATTTTCTTATTTCTCTGATTAAACTTACTCTTTGAGGGGGAGGGCACAGCTCAGAGGGCATGCTTAGCATGCACAGAGTCCTGGATTCAATCCCCAGCACCTCCATTAAAAATTAATAATCTAATTGCCTCCCCCTCAAAAAAGATGAGAAAAATTTAAAAAATTTTAATTAAAAAAGTCAAAGGTTTTCTGTGCCTATAGTGCCCCCTGGTGGGCAGATGTGAGTAACAACCCACACCTAATGTTTGAATAGAAGATGTGATGTCATGAAGACTTCTTGGGGAACTTCTCCATTAGAGCACACCTGGAGAATTCCCCAGGGCACACATTCAGATAACTAATATATAACTTAAATGTAAGCTCCCCGAGGATGAATGTTTGTGTCTCTTTTCTCAGGGTTGTGGTCCCAGTGCCCATGAACATGCTCACACAGGAGTCTAACAGATGATCTATACATACTTGTTGAATGGCTGGAAGATTCAGGTGCCCACTCTGCACACAGTAGTGTTTCAATGAATTCTTGTGGTCATTCCATCAGTGAACTGTTATTAATAACGTTCTGTGTGCAATACACAGAAGAAACATACTGTCCAAAGCCACCTCAAAGAGCACTGGATTTTTATTTTAAGAGAAAGAAGGAAAGAAAAGCATTCCTCATGGGAATCCGTTTTCCTTCTTTTTTTAAAATTGAAGTACAGTCAGTTACAATGTATCAGTTTCTGGTGTACACCACAGTGTCCCAGTCATGCATATACATACATATATTCATTTTCATATTCTTTTTCATTAAAGGTTATTTATTACGAGGAATCCATTTTCTTGATGGACCTGTGAAGAAGTAAATTATAGCCCACCTGCCCAGTGTTGTGACCCTGGCACCAAGCTTCAAGGCTAGGGGGTTTACCTGGTGATCTGGGGACATCACCCCATGTCCTTACTTCCTTCTGAGGATGAATGGGTCGGGCTTAGAAATCATGAATCTTGGGGAAGCCCATGCATGGTGGCCCCAGGGTCTGCTTAGACTCTTGGTTTTAACATACCCACAAATCCTTTCGGTTTTCACACTTAGGCTCTTTTTTGAATAGGGAAGATAATTGCACAGTTCTCAAAGTGCCTGGATGCAGGCAGCTCTAACCAAGTCTTCCCCTTGCCGCTGTCACTGGTGCCAGCTGGCTGTGACTTCCTCCACTGTGGTCTTATAGGGGACAGCAGTTGATTAAATCGCCAAATGAATCTAAAAACCTGCCACGAGAGAACATCTTTTAAATATAAACCAACCATTCCAGAACTTACATCCTCAACCACCTCTTTTTTCTGACCCTTACACTCTGGGACAATATCCACCTGCCTTAATCACCCCAGAACCTACACCCTGGAGCCCCCTGAAATTATTCAGATTTGCCAATCCTACATCTGTTTACCCTGCCATGAGCCATCAGGATGAACTCTGCTCTTCACCTAGTATTCACAGCATTTATGTTCTGACCCTTGCTTGCCTCTTCAGTCTCACTTCCTATCTCAACCATCACTTTGTACTTCTTTTATTGTGGTACCATATACCTACCCTTAATTAAGGAGTTCCTGGCCTCCTGCTGTGCATACATAGATACACTGCTGTGCTCTCACCTGTCTACACAGCTGTCTCCTGCACAACACCAGAGATCCTAGAACACAAAGACTTTGGTTGATTTCTGTGTCTCTAGTACCCAGTACATAGCAATATGTATTTAGTGAATGATAACAAATGAGTTTGATAATTAACTGCCCAAGTCACTTTCTTGAGGAAAACCAGTTCACTGGTCCAATTTCTACTACCCACTCTCAGTTCTCAATCCTTTATTTTGACATATATTGTTTAATTCCTACAACAAGGAAGCCAGGTAAGCATTCCATCCCTATTTTACAGAGGAAAACTGAAATTCAGGGTATGGAAACATCTTGCCCAAATCAGAATTGTTTAACTAGGAATGCTTATCCTGGTCTCTCCAGAAAAAAACCCCAAAATGGTGGTGAGGCATCATTGTGCCTGGAAAAGAAGTGGCAAAAAGAAGGGCTAGAGCTGTGTAACCCTAGGGTCTTGCTTATTTCTGTCCCTAGAGTGCAGTCCCAGAGCCTGGACACATATAGGTACTCTTCAATCAAAGCTGTTTGGAGCCTAAGCCTGGACGCTGGCTTTTCCTGGTGACTGGGGATTCCTTGAGAGCCGGAGCTTACCTCTCATCAAGCACAGATGGGAGGAAAGGTCTTAATACGCCCCTGTCATCTTTCACAACAAATTTAAGGCGACGGAGTAAAAAAGCTAGGATGCGCTTCCCTCACTTCCTTTTTTTTTTTTTTTTTTGGTTCCTTCCAGCCTCCTTCCTCCCAGAACTGGGAGTCCAGGCTAAGCCTTATCACCCCCACCCCTACCACTGCGACCTCTGGGTTCCCAACTGCGGGGTCGCGGGGCTCTGCCCTCCAAGGCCTTCGCCCTTCAACCCATGGCGCACTTGCAGCCCCAGCCTCGTAACAGTCAAGACCTGCTTCCCGTGAGCCTCTGCTCCTGGGTCTCCCAGGGCGCGTGCTCTCTACCCAGCAGTCCTTTCGCGGCCCCGAGAAGCGGACAGCCAGGACTCCAAGATGGCGTCAGTTGGTGAGTGTCCGGAGGGTTAAGGCCACCAGGTTGCAGGCAGGAGTCGGGTTCGGGGTCCAGTGCTCAGAGCCACACTGGGAGGGGAGGGGCCGAGTGACAGAGCCTCCTGCCCTTCGCTCAGGGCCTTCGCCTTTCCCTCACTGAGGTGCAGCGGACCCTTTGCCCAGGGTTCTGCGCCGTCCGACCCTTCTCTGTCCCCGCCGCGCCTCCCGCCTGCCCAGGGCCCGCGGCCCTCAGCTGCGGCGGGGAGGATGACGGCAGCCCGGCGACGCGCCTCTGGGCTTGGGAATGCGCTGTCTCGGGACCTACTCCCTCTCCCCGCTGAGGAATAGCTGCTCTCATCCCCGCCGCGACCCAGGCGCTTTGCACCTGAATCCTACGCGCAAAGCCGAAGCTGAAATTAAGTTCTAGGAGGAGCTGATGCCTAGGACGGTGCCTGACACCAGGAAGGTTCGACACCTGTATATGTCGAATAGGCTTAGAGAGGTGAAGTGACCCATTCAAGGTCACAGCTCATGAATGGGATGATCTGGGAAACAAACCTGGATTTAGCACCCAGAAGACACTTGGCATTTCCATGCCTCTCCATATAGGTGGACAGTATGCTTCTTGAAGTCATAAAATCAAGCCAAGCAGTCACGTGCCCTCCCAAGAACCTGTGGTCCTTTCTCAACCTTCACTGAAACTCTGCCATGACCAGGAACTGAGTGTGGGGAACTTCAACCTTCAATTAGCTCATAGACAGGCAGAAAGATAATAGTAATTCCTATTTACATAGTACCTAGAGCTAAGTACCAAGGTGGGCACTATAGTTACCCTTATTTTACAAAGGGGGAAACTGAGGCACAGAGAGGGCAGTAACTTGCCCAAGGGCACACAGCTACACCGTGGCACTAGACCCAGAATACTTGATGCTAGTCTGCTCTGCTCATCACCACACTCTGCTGGTGTGAACCAGCCACTGCAGAGGAGTGTTGGGGGAGGGTTCCAGTATGGCTGCGAAGGACCAAGGCCTTTGTCTTCAGCAAAACAAGAAGTTCTTGGAATAAGTGTAGATACATCGCTGATGAATCTGATGGTCTCTTGGAGTTTTGTGATGGTGCTGTACTTGGCTCTCCTTAAGGCTAATGATTTTTTTTTCT